TCCCTCTCTCTCCAATGTCTCTGCTGCCCATCTCACTGAGGCAACTCTATCCGGCTTGACATCTGGGGAATGAACCTACAGAAGTGGCAATATTACGCTGCTCTTTCTCTGGCTTGCACCACAAGGACTCCTGGTGATATTGCAGTGTGACATGCAAAACTCGAGCTGGAAAGGAATGACATTCTCTCTTAGCTGATAGCAACCCTGTATCCAGCTGATGTTCTCTTTGTTCCTGAGGACTATTCTGGATGGAGACTGCCTGTGCTTCTAGTTTGGCTCTGAGTTTTGTCTCACCTAAACCAGAGCCAAAACTATACTTGGATTATGAAAGATGGCCATTTGTTTTAATTAAAGGTGTCCTAATATTTTGCAATTATGTGCAACATGCTATAATTGGAAGGGGAGCCAGGGTCTAAAGAGTTCAGCAGGCTTTCCAGCTTGGTCTAGTTTTTTGTTTAAGGCAACATGGGGACATGGTTTTTTTTTCTCTCCTTCCCTATAACAAAGGATTCATTGTTGTGGCACCAGCCACCAACTGCCATTTCCTTCAGTTCTTGTGCATTGTTTGTGTCTTTGGCAAGTACACCTCAGAATTATCTCTGTGATTGTTGCTAAACCACAACTCCAACGCCAGCTAACTGCCTTTTCTTTTTCTTTTGACCACAGCACAGTATCCAAGCCAGAAAAGAAATGGATTCTGCCTGCTGCTCTTATATAATTTCTTAGCAAACATGGTTGAGACTTAGAGCTGGTCTTGCGTGAAAGTTGTTGCATTGGGGGTGTGTGTGAATTTTTAGAAAGGGAGAGGAAGTAAATCAGGAAGCAGATATTTGGATCCTAAGTAGATGAGCACGAACAAGAGACTTTTTTTCTATTCTTGGACTGAGTACACTATTTCCACTGTCATTTGTGAAGATTGACAGAATCTGGAGACTTGTGGAAACCAGTTGGACAACTGGGGCACCTTGGCTGAACTTTCATGTGATGCCAAATGAGGATTACTGAAGAAGCCCTAGTGGCCTGGGTCATACTTTACTTTTAAACCAAAATGAAATGCAGCTCATTGTGACTTGTGGTCTTTCCCCACTGCTGAGCTAACATTTTTCTCTTCCTATCTTGACTTGTGGTAACTTATGGTCATGTGGCTCCCACTTCCGCTCTGTGCTTTGAATCTGATCCGATTCCCCTGCCATGTCGGTCAGGAGGAGGAGTTAAATGATAAGCATTACACAGTTGCCGTGCAAGTGCCATCCCTTTTTTATGTCTATTGTGACATCACACACACAAAAAGGGACGTGGTTTATGCCATGATTCTGGATCAGATCCTGGGTATTCCTCTGTTTGTGCCTCTGGGTTAAATGCAAGCGGGGGAGTGGGGGGCAGGTTGTCATGCAAGGGTCTTCAGACTTGGCAAGTTTAAAACTTGTGGACTTCAACTCCCAGAATTCCCGAGCTCCTTCATGACTGGAGGAGGAATTCTGGGAGTTGAAGTCCACAAGTCTTAAAGCTGTCAAGTTTGAAGACCCCTGCTGTAGTGTAATATGTAAATCTGGCCACTGTGTTGGTTTCATAGCAACCAGGTCTTAACAGGTCTCTTTGAATATATCACAAATTTAATTCAACAGCTTGCTTTTGCAGTTTTCAAAGTTTTCATTGAGGTACCATTCTGAATTTTGCAGATTGTTTTACAGATTACTGGGTTTGTGAGTGTGCTCTTCCCCCCCCCCCCCCCCCAGTTAGCAGATAACAGATAATCAGAGTTGGAAGGTACCTTGTAGGTCATCTAGTCCAACCCCCTGCCCAAGCGGGAGACCCTACACCATTTCTGACAAATGGCACTCCAATCTCTTCTTGAAAGTCTCAATGATAGGTTAAATCTCTCTTTGTTCAGTTTCCATCCATTATTCCTTGTCTGGTCTACAGACGCTTTAGAAAATAGCTTGACCCCTTCCTCTCTGTGGCAGCCCCTCAAATATTGGAAGACCGCTATCATGTCTCCGCTGGTCCTTCTCTTTACTAGACTAGACTAGCCAAGCCCAGCTCCTGCAATAGTTCATTGTATGTTTTAGCCTCCAGTCCCCTCATCATCCTGGTTGCTCTTCTCTGTACTTTTTCTAGAGTCTCACCATCTTTTTTATAATGTGGATGCACGGAATGCACGGAAAAGTTGCTTTAATCCAGATCAAGCCTCAGTCTGATGGAGAGTAATTGTCCTGCTTAGCAGCGGCTCTCCATCCTTTGCTTCTTCCCCCATTTTCCTGGAAATGCCAGGAACAGTTCCTGGATCCTCCAGCATGCAGAGCGGGTGTTGCACCACCGACTTACAGCTCTAGACCCTGAGTCACTTCCTCTAATGACTTTCCAAGAGTTGAACTCAATTCAACTTTTATGAAACAGTTAATTATTCCGCCACACTTTTTCTTTTGAATTAATTCCATAAAACAACAAGGCCAGCAGTTGAAATGTGTCAAAAAGTTAGATATCAACGATTTGAATCATGTGCAAAATAAGAGAAAAATATGAATACTGTAGAGCAGAGGTCTCCAAACTTGACAACTTTAAGACTTGTGGACTTCAGCTCAGCTATGCTGGCTGAGGAATTCTGGGAGTTGAAGTCCACAAGTCTTAAAGTTGCCAAGTTTGGGGACCCCTGATGCAGAGGAATACTAACTCTGAGAGTGGATAGAGATGTCCGGATGAAGATTTAGGTTAGAACAGCATATCTGATAAAAGACTAGACAGAGTTAAGCAAGAAAAAGCTTGGGGCAGGAACAGAGGATTTGGCATCGGCAGTTACTTAGAAGAACTGAAAAGATGACTACAAAGATGTCAGGGTTTATGGTGTATGTAAATGGCTCCTATTCTTACATAACATTAGCTTATATTCATGAACCTTTTGAAGTTTACTGAAGGAAAAAAACAAAGCGAAACACAACTTGCAGAAATGAAATAATCTGCAATAATCGGTTCTGTTTCATCGTTGCATTATTAAGGTGTTTTAACAACTACACAGTTGAGTTTTAAAACTGGTGGCAGACAGGCATTTCTGGTCAAAACAGCCTTGGTAACAAAGCTAAAATCCAAATCGTTGGACAACATGCAGGTCTTGTGAAAGGTTTGCCAGGTATGAACCCCTGCCCATCCCAAATCATTGCCCTACACCTTACCGGCCATTTAGATGGTGTTATCAATTCCAAGAAAGCTCGGGGAAATGGATAGAAATTAATATCTTGCTGCTACTGCTCCACGGAAGAATGCCGTTCACTCACCTGTCACTACATTAAAGCAGCTCTTCCTAGTCTCACTTTTGGGGTATCCCATGAGGTGTGCAATAAAAGCATGAATGGCACAGAGACAGCAAGGTGAGATTGTGCTAGGGAGAAGTGTGCTTGCTCTACATTCCATGGCTCATGATATACTTCTTCAGTTTATGAGCTGCCCCAGATGTTTTCTATAAAATTGTAGAGAAAGTTCTGCATGAAATGTATGAAATCTCATGCATTTATTTGGCACCGTTGGTTAAATTGCAGTGCGCAGCTGCACACTCCAGAAATTTGAGCATGTTGGACACGTGAAATGGGAGAGTCATGTTAAGTTGGAGGGGATATGGATTATCTACAATGTTCACCGGAGGATCTCAGTGCTCTCTCTCACCACAGCTTGCTTTGCAGAGTTTCTGTGAAAATAACACAAAGGCAGGAGTAAAACCACAGTTGCTCTCAATTCTCCTTGAAGGCAGCTGTGCTATAATTGAAAATGTAGCAAATCTCTGTAATGTAGGCAGGAATAATGGTATCGGTGTTTCAATCTGATCCCCTGCCTATTGGGCGATTGAGAAGGGAAAATTCCTGTGGCTGATACTGCCTAGAATGGTTTTGCAATTCATGTCTACCTCTATGGCATGTAGGCCAGAGGCAGTGCTGGTACTACTTGCCTAACACAAAATTGTGAGAGATTATAATGGTACAAGGCACTCACTGAAAACCATACACTCTGGGCCAGTTTTGGAGGAATCTAAGGGCCAAATTGATGTTTTAAGCTACTGGAAGGCACTAATTTGACCCCTTAACCAGAGGTGGTATTCAGCAGGTTCTGACCAGTTCTGGAGAACCGGTAGAGGAAATTTTGAGTAGATCAGAGGACCAGCAAATACCACCTCTGACTGGAGATTTTACAGTATCCTTCCCCTGCCATGCCCACCAAGCCATGCCCATAGAACTGGTAGTAAAAAAAATTGAATCCCACCGCTGCCCTTAACCCCTAATAGTCCCCATGTAAAGTACTTGAGTCGGTGGATAAGAGTGTGCAGGGGAATACATACATGCATACATACGTACATACATACATACAATAAACTCTAACAGTGATCACCTACCCAATCTGATGATGTCTAATATTATCTGTCCTTTAACCTGTCCTACTCCTTTAACCAATTCCCAAAGACAAAAAAGGTCAATTTTTGACATACATTGCTCTGTGGAAGTGACTGCAGAGGAGGGTGTGTTTCTTTACACATGCATGTGTGTGTCTGTCTGTGTGAGAGAGGAAGAGAAACAGAGGGAGAGAGAGCGAGAGCTGGGTTCTGATGATGGGATATATTTCTGTAGCAAAATTGGGAGATCCCAGAGGGAGCAATGAGCCTTTATTCAGCCTGTTGGTGGTTACGGAATATGCTGATTAGTATTGCAATGGGTTGTAGAAAAACTGCTAGAAGAAACTAAACTTATTCACTTCCTTTTTTTGTTTGTTTGTTCTATTCCTTTCCCCTCAGGTCTTTTACCAGAACCAGTTGCCAATGGTGATGTGGAGAAGGTAAAAATTACTGCCAATCCCATGGTTCCTTGATAGATGTGTTAAGACCCAACGTTCAACATTGCAGATTCCTCTGCTCTACCTGTGTTGTTATTGGTGGTGGTGGGGAGCATCAACCGATTACTGAACGACTCTTATGCCTTCCGAGTCTACATTGTTAGGAAATTTTAACTGGCCCTAGTTTTCCAATACATTCACACCGGAGATAATACAGAAGCATTGCATGCGCCAAGATTGTCTTCAAATAGTTGTAAGATATTTTCTTTCCCCCTGGTTGTTGTTTTTTTAAAAACACCTTCTCTGTACAAACTGCTCAGAGCAGCCCTTGACTAGCTGCCAGATCAAAAGGGTGAAATCTTCCTAAATTGGGAAAGGAAGGTGGGCTATGCTCTTGATGTTCCCGTAAAGAAAAGCAAACTGAGGAGAGGGAGTGCTGATGCCTTGGAAGGCCTGTCACTCATTCCAGAGCCTGCCTCTTGTCACTGAATAAAATGGCCCATCCTTCACCCAATGGGTGGAATCTCACATCTTTTAAAAGGCCAAGTTACTTCCAGTCTACTTTGAAAAAACAAAGCCTAATTAAAGTAAGAGAAGAAAGAAAACATCATTACAAAACTTTTTTTTAAAAAGGGCTGGGCTTTTTAAAGACATTGGAATATACATTCAGAGGCAGGATGAGGATGTTGCCAGACTATAGGTAAACAGGATAGATATGTCATTCAATGTCATTTTTCCCTAATTGGGCTGAATGCTAATTGCAAGCCGATATAGAAATAGTCGCTGTTCTGCACCACTGTTGAATAAGTCTGCCATATGATGTAATGCAAGTAATCACTTTCAGAATCATTTCATATACCTCTATAGAACCTAATATAGAATATTTATTTACATTTGTATTCATGTATTTATATCTCGCATTTCTGACTCTCCCATCTTACTCAGAGAGAGACTCTCTTGTTTTAAATGACTCTGAAATGCAAATATTCCTTAGGACAACATTTCAACAGAATTCAAGATTCAAGATCTTTCAGTCTTTCAATTTTCCTCTTTCACAGAAATTGCTCTCCCAATTTGTCCAGCTTATCTCTTACCCAGAATTTTCAAAGTTTAACAAAACCTCAATACATGCATAGCATTTTAGCAAAAAACGACTGATTAAATTGTGTACATAAGGTGAAATCTGGTGCTATGAGAACACCCAAAACAAGGCTGCTGCAAGGAGTTTTTAATGAACTATTTGCTTATCATTCAAATGTAGACAAATTGTGGTTAGTCTTAATTATATTTTGTGGAAACAAGCAAGACAGAAATTATCAAATTGGCTTGTTTTTTCTAATCAAGAATCATGTTTTAGAGTTTATGGTGGCATGATGAACTCTTATAAATAGGGGAAGCAGAAGAACTGGATAGGGAGTGGCTCATTGTAATAATACTTGGTCATGTTTAGCGTCAGACCCTTGTGTAAGAACAATTGAAGAAAATGTTTTCCCAGGTGGATACAAAATTTATTGATCCAAAGGCAAGCAACACGGAAGGGGAATCTGCTCTAACTTAGCTTGAGGAATTATGCTGCTGGTGGTTTATTTGCTTCTTTCCAAAAAGAGGAGGAAAAGGATAGCTGCTGGGCATGGACTTATTGGATTGTCACCTGTTTTCTAGAATAACTTATGTGGCATCCATTCTGTTTCACTTTCTAATTTTGTATTGTTTCTAATGCCCTCCAAGTGATTGGTCACCAGAAAAAAGATAGCCCACACAGATTCCTTGTCAAATAAAGAAACACTCCCCCTACTAAAAGTTCCCAGGGAAAGTGAGGATTTGCTACTGCCCCCACAACGCAGAATTCTGTAAGAAAATTTCTTTTGAATCAACTTGTTATCCTTGTATTGTATGTTAACAAGAATTTTTCTGGCTTTGTTGCCAGCAGCTCGGGGGAGTATTTAAATGATACAGCAAACAATGGTTTTGAGAAGAATGGACACAGTGTGATTACTAGACAGACAGACAGACCAGTCCCGTATGGGAAGCCACTGTGGGATAGCAGTTAACAATTCAGTTGGGAAGTAGGACTATGAGTTCATCATGACTGGCTGGAAAGAAAGGATTGCAATAAAATGTGTGCCTTTAATTTGAAATAATGCTGTGCCTACTACTTAAAGAGCCCCCTCCTGCCATTAAATTTTAAGTTTTTTCTTTCTTACTTCTAGGAGAACCTTAGAGATGAACAAACGGAGATTAATTCTGAAAGCCCTTCTAGCCCTATGACCGTGTCTCCTTCTTCAACTCTGAGTGAACCTTCCATTGAGGTATGAACACAGTCTGGGTGTAGTAGGCAAATGGGAGTGATGAGTGATGTGTGGATAATCCAATGAGAGGTATAGGTAAATATTCCTTTGACTGTCTCAAAGACCAGACGGATGCCTATGGTACTATTTTGCAGTGATGGAGAAGCTAGGTCCCAGTTTGCTTGGTAGAAGAAACATTTTTTCTCTTAATAAGTCAGCACTAGCACTTAGACCTATTTATTGCTTCATAGTGCTTTACAGCCCTCTCTGATTAGTTTACAGAGTCAGCCTATTGCCCCCAACAATCTGTCTCCTCATTTTACCAACCTTGGAAAGATGGAAGGCTGAGTCAACCCTTGAACTGATCAGGATCAAACTCCTGGCTGTGGGCAGAGTCAGCCTGTAATACTGCATTCTAACCGCGGCACCACCATTACTCAGTGATAACAATGAAAACTTCTGCAGTTTATTTTTGTGGCTGCTTAGGAAGATTACATTACCCATATATTTTTTTAAAAAAGAAGTTTGTTAATACTTCTACTTTTTATTTGGTGAGAAATAGTTATTGGCGATTTAGTAATGGATTAGGAACTGTAAGATGTTCCTACTGAAAACAGGTGAAAGGAAGTGATTTGCTATTTGTACCCAACACTAATTGAAGGATCTAGTTAGGGAGAGATTTCAGGAGCAATAGTGTGAGGTTCCAATTTAGATTGTGGATATGATGTCAAACTGGAACTGCATATCTCTACTTTTCTTTGAGAATTATATTTTGTTAAAAAAAAGGGGGACTACTAAAGCAAATTTGATACTAGGCAGAGTCACCCAAGCCGTTTCTGCATATATCCAGTGGAAAACCCCAAATCTGGCATATTCTAATACTGTGTGAGTGTGGCTTTTAGGATCCTGAAAGTGGATGAGGCTGAATTCTATGAATGCCTAAAAGAGAGTTATTTAGCCTAGCCTTACAGGCTTTTTCTCTGCAGGCTCCCAAAGTGGATAGGAATCTTTTTGCAAATTATGTTGGTGTTGTGATCTTGCAGAACAACTTGGGCATTGCTGTGTGGCTTAAACACTAAGACCAAACTGACTTTTACTTCGATTTCCTTTGATCAGCCTAAAGCTACCTGCGTTTAAAGTAATTTAAAAAAAAAACAAAATTAACAATTTAATAGCAATCCATAGATGTGTTTGCATGCTAAATGAAACATGAATTAGGGTTACAGTGACCTTTGAAAGGATGTGGGTATTAAGATAAAGTATTAACCAGTCATGTCTTATAGTCGTGGCTGTGTGAGTTCCTGAACCCAGACAGGAAATTAAAGAACAGTGACCTACCTCACTGCTCTCTGACCCTCCAGCCTATGGTCACAGAGCAGGACAGCAGAAAAAGACCACAAGCCACATTTGCTTCTGCTGCAGTTTTTCCAGTGTCACTTGGCTGCTCCCTTTTTCATAAGTTCACAATAAGTTCTGTACAATATAAAAAGTAACCGTTTTACAGTTAATCTGTTCCCATCCTGCAGCAAACCAAAATATCCCAGGCCCTTTAATACTAGGAGATGAAAATAATCTGCCTGCTAGGTGCCTTCATAGGCTTCATACTCATGGCTACTCCAAGCTCTAGAGGGTTGTGTCATGTAAATGCACCTGGCAATAAGTGCCTGGGCTTTTTTGGGGTCATGCATAAGACAGATGCTGTTTCAGCAGAATAGCTGATAACTGTTGGGTACTCTATTGTCTGTTTTTGCACCCTTTCGTTCTTACAGCTGTACTCTCATGAGAAAGAGGACAAACTCAGCACCACATCCGATCCCATTCTTGACTTGGACATCCCACTGGCAGTAGCCAAAGAGCGCGCCCACCAGAAACGTACCAGCAAACGAGCACCGCAAATGGACTGGAGCAAGAAAAACGAACTCTTTAGCAATCTGTGAACCACCCCCCGACCCTCAAGCTGGGAGGTGATATAAAGGCAATACTGAGAAATCTGGCCAGACCATGCCTCCCCCCTCCCCCTCTCCTAAGCATTCCGGTCCCCTAGATACATTTCCTTGCCCTTCTTCTCTCCCTCTCCCCCTTTGCTTGGAAATGTAGATGCAAGATCTTGTCTTGCCCTGGGTCCCCTGAAAGGGCAAACACTTGGCCTGATCATTCTGCCTGCACTATTTTGGAGAAGCAGTTGTATTTAAAGAGGACAATGAGACATTTTCATATACCCTCTATGAATAGCTTAAGATAGCTTGCGGATGTGAATCCAAAATGAATTTGGTGTCGCTGTTGGATCTGTAGTATAAGACACATACGCATATCTCTATATAAAAAGAATGTATGCACAGGACAAGGATATAATATGTCAGGTGCCACACTGAAAAAGGGGACAGTGTGAGGCATAGCTGTACTGTAGGTCCGTTAACTCTTTTAAGATAGTTGAAGTTAAACATGTAAAAAACATTAATCCCTGTAGATCTCAACTGGCTTTCTTCAGAGAAATCATATTGGATGCTGATTGAACTATTCCAGACGATGTCCTATCAGGACTATAGTCTAAGCTTGCATAGAGTACCTTTAATTCCTAATTTGATTACAAATGAACATCCTTTTGTGGGGCAGTTCCTCTGTCCTCTATTCAAGGAACTGCTTTGCTATGAGTGGAGAGAAACATTTCTGATGCTCATGTCATCTTCTCTCTTTTCTGGTAAAGACATTCCTGGATTGCCACTGCGAGAAAGGGCTTATTAGGCCAGACCCAATACTTCTTGCTTTGTGCTTTGGAGGTTTCAAAGTGTGGGAAGAGGAATAATTGAAAGCTGTTGTAGCAGCCAGCCTGTGAGATTCTTTTCCTTCTGGGTAGGGGATGTGGTAAGGAGTCGTACCTAATGCAGCAGTTGAAAGCACACAAGGATAATATCCTGTCCTCTATTTACTCCAGAAATGGAGCCAAATCAGGGTTTTCAATAATCACGATTAATTAACAACTTACTGATAATAGTGTTTCATTTCTGGAATTGTTTTCTAATTATGGCTCATTTCCCTGTATGTGTGTATAGTATAAAAATCATTCCTCTTCCATAAATTTTTGTTTTGTTTTTGTGTTCCTTGATTGATGTTTGATGTCAAATGTAAGAGAATCTGTTTACTGGAGCAAAATGCTGCCTTGATTTTGCGTGCTTATTTAAAATTAAGGATTTTTTTTTTGTAAAGCCACATACACAGGCCACAGTGTATGTGCAAGTTGAAGTCTGCATGAGATTAGCTAATCTCTCTAGTTTTATAATTTAATTTATAACTTTAACTGGAGTATAGTGAGAGCTGTAAATCCAAGGCCAGCAGCTGGCTTATGTAATACAAATAACACACAAACACACACAATATTTTTCCACTCTCCAAATAAGAATAGATGAGCTTCTGTCTCTGACTGTTGGGCTGAATAATATATCAGACTTCAGGATGATAGAAATTACCATCATACCTGCAATTGTTTGTTTTTTTTCCTGCCAAATTAGGTGAGCAGAGCCATGTCAATACTCAACCAGAATTGAAAATAAGATTGAAACAGCAACATGTAGGAGAAACTGGCCACCACCATTGGCCACCACCATTGACCTCTTTTTCAGCCTAGCTCTGTTTCTGGGGCTGTAGAGATGCATTACACCATTTGCTTCTGCTTGAAACTTAGAACCACAAGCCAGCATATTCTATAAATTTCAAGGGTTGTGTTTGTAGAATGAAGTATTGTTAAAACAAGCTATGCATTTAAGGCCAATGTGCCATTCTTAGCCAGAAAGTTCAAGTAAGAAATTACGATATTGCATTCATATTCATCAAGTGATGCCGGTCAGAGTAGAGAAACAATTTGTCCACAAGACTGTCCTGCCTTTCATTTTCTATGTATTGTTCACTGTCAGTGTGATATAATGTGGTTACCTCATGTAGTCCCCAAATCAATGTGCTGGGCCTTGTACTTGGGAACCATTTTACAACAGGCAATCAGGCAAAGGCCAAAGAAGATTAGGAAAGCAAAGGCTTTATTATATGGCTCCGTCATTCTTCATTACAGCCCACAAGGATCTTCCTTGATAAGAGTTGACCAATTTGATTTTTTAAAAAAGTTATTAAAAATGACTGAATGAATTAAGAGTGGGAGAGATTAAGTATCCAAGTTTAGGATAGGTAGAGGTAAAGGCAGTTTACATGTGAATCCAAGGTGGTTCCCAATTTAGGTACTGATCAGATTTAGGCTCGCTTGGTTTCAAAGATGTTTTGAAGTGGGCCATAAGGTTTGAAGAGTGCTTGGGGTTTATCAACTTATTTATAAATCAACTGATTGGTGGGCCCCAAAGGACTTTCCCATGGGATGGTTGCCAGAGAAGCTATGTTAATATGTTGCAGTAAAAATAGCCAAGAGTCTTATGGCACCTTAAAAGCCAATCTTTTTAATGCTTCTCCAAGTTATTATCACTTAATCAAATGCACAGTAATAAACCCATCATTTTTCTGATGAAGTGGACTGGACTCTTTGGAAGTTTACGACATAATCAGTTGATTACATTAATCTACCAGTGGAGCCTGCAATAAAATGTGAGGTGCTTCTGGGCACAGCTACTTTACTTAGCTTCCGTCCTGAAAACTTCATTTCAAAATATTTCTCTTTCAATTCCTGCTACTCGAGATCAGGAATGGTAAACAGGATCCATCCTAGGAAGACTGTTGGGAGTATGTTTGCTTTTAGAGCTCTGGGTTTTCCTCCTCCTGATGGAAACGGTTTGTGCTTTGCCATTATGTTCTTTCGGAGAGCCTTGAAAACCCACCGTCCTTATGAGTTCACAAAAGGATTAATACTGGTCTGAAAGAGAAACCGGCAGATCCAGCTTTGCGTGACATTGAGAATAGTTTGTGATGAGGTTCTTATTACAAACTGCTTTTGAAGGGCAAAGGGCAGGGCCCACTGATAGCTGGGGAATGAGGGTAGATCAGGGCTGTCAAACTCGCAGCTGTGGGCTAGATGCTTCATGTGCTGGACATGCCCACGCCCAGTTTAGTGAAGGGGAAAAAAGTTGTGATCACGTGACATATTGCCATGACGACATGAGTTTGATACCCCTGGGGTCATGAAGCAACACTAGATTCAAATCTTTGAAGATCTCCCCATGATAGTCAATAATCTCTTAGAAGGAATCACTTTATAATAGTTAAAATCTTAAAACTTGTTTCCTTTTAACTAGGGCAGGCTTGATTATCCAGCTTTGACCATCTGCTTGCCAGAGAGGTACAAGTCATTTGCTGAACATCAGTTTGAGAACTATTTCAATTGTACTGTAGAGCCAAAACTGTCACACAAATCTTAAGCCCGGTAATAATATAAAGAGTTTGGCCCATGTCAAATCAGCATTAGCATTTCATAGGCTGAAACCCACTTTATAATTCCTCAGTGTACCAGGTTGTTCAGCTAATTCATGTGTTCTCTGAAAATGGTGTAGTTTACAGCATAATCCTAGGCAAATGTAATGACTGAATAAACCCCATTGTGTACAGTACAGCTTATTCTCAGTTAAGTAGATATTAAACTTTCTGCCTTTGCTTAACAAATCCTGCCAGACTTCTAAGTGCAATGTCCAATGTAGTGGAAACTGATAACAACTTACCTGCCATTTTTCTGTCAGTGAACTCTAGAGCATTAGGACTTTATTCATGCATCAATAATATATAAACAGCAGTGCAAACAAGAACTACATCCAGAAACAGCTTTAGAAATGCTAGCCATATCCTGTTTTGGGGAAGGAAAAAAAAACAGGTTTTGGCTTTTCACTCAAAGCCAGCACTTTGACGTTGGGTTGTTTCTCTCAGAAAAGTCCTCATTCCATCATGGTAGGTTGCATTAAGCTGTTATTGTCAGCTTAAACACATCAATGTTTATTCCTCCTCCTTTCTGTCAGCATAAGAATATGTCAGTGTGTTTTATGCTTATCTCAGTAAAAAAGCAAGTACTCCTGTCTGCATAACTTAATTATGTGGCCATAATTAAGGCAGCACTCCTATCCTGTGTGTTGGAGGGTGGGGGTGAGGAACAGGTGTCCATGAGAAGGAAGCATTCATTTCTGAGGTGCTTTAGCCCTGTACGTTTTCACTTAGTTTTTTTATGAAGGCAGATCTGTTGATCTTCTGGAAAGAAGCATAAATAAGTCTATTGGTCTTCTGAAAGATGGTAAATCTCTGTCTAAATGTAGTCCAGCTGATAGGTTGGAGGTGGGTGAAGGATGAAATGAGAGGGCATCTCACATTCCCCTTCTCAATTTGTTCTGTCAGTTGGGCAAAGTTTTACCAGTCCTCTACAGACAGGTTCTTTCTTTCTATCACTGGAGCTGGAATATCTTAGTCAATTTTATCCTAGCTTCCAAACATTCAAAAATGATACATGCTCCAAGGCAGCAAAACAAGGAAGAAAGAAGGCAGGTTTCTCAATAGAAATCAAATTTCTCTTACAACTGAAGCTAAAATGATCGTGGTGAATCATATTCATTGGAGAGTCAGGGTTATGCATGCAGCAATCTCAACCAACGAATAGGAGTTCACACAATCCAATCTCTGATTATGTCATCACCAAGATTATGATTGAGAAGTCACACATCATTTGTGCACTGAGAGTTGCATGGGGAGAAGAAGGAAACACTATTGTTTTGAAATGTAAATGGCTGTACTTATGGTGGGCTGGGGTTGATATGGAGGTTACATTCTCTAAATTTGATTAGTGGGTCCATTGCTGGAAATATGGAAAACATGAAGGATCATTTAAACCGTGCATAGTGTGCAAGAAACAAATTACTGGATACAAACACGCAATGATAGAATGTTAAAGATTAATATTAATTGGAACTTTTTTTGTTGATACTTATGGATAGCTGGTTAAAAAATGATTTATGTATATGGTAAATGTAGCAAGACTTTTGCACGCACAAACTTAACTAAAGGTCAAGCCTTATAGTTAAGTACAGCTGATTTGATTTTCTAGTATATAATCAAATCTTTTCTGAGAACTTGATATTTATTTACAGAATAACAGAGTTGGAAGAGACCTTGGAAGTCTTCTAATCCCTGCTCAAGCAGGAGACCATATATGATTTCAGACAAGTGGCTGTCCAGTCTTTTCTTAAAAGCCTCCAGTGATGAATCACCCAGAACTTCTGAAAGCAAGCTGTTCCACTGGCTAATTTTTCTGTCAGGAAATTTCTCCTTAGTTCTAGGTTTGCTTTTCTCCACCGATCCTTACTTGTTTTGCTTTCTGGTGCTTTGGAAAACAGATTGACCCCCCTCTTCATGGCATCCCCTCAAATTGGACTAAATTACACAATGGATGGGTGAGAAGTTTGAAGCTATTTTCACAGTGTTGTTTTTCCCTTCCTCATTTGCCTCTTCAGCAAGTGTAGGTCCTGAACCCACCAGCACCTAAAATGTTGATTTGATGAAGGAAAGTGTTTTTGTGTCCCCAGCATAAGTTACAGAGTTTCCATCACAAGACTAAGGCTGGTTCTATAAAGAGATCTTAAATGTAGCCATGGGTTCAGTGAACTTTTGCTGCACTTCCTGGTTTATCAGCATGACCTCATGTGAAGCTCAGGAGTATAATTTCAAAGGAAGTAGATTGTGTTAGAAAATCACATGTGCTTTCTTTCCTCAAATGCGCTGAAGGGTTTTCATTACTGCCAAAGTCCTTTATTTCTATGTTCCTTCCATCTTTTGATTATATGTCTTGCCTTTGACACATGACAGTGTCTAACAGACCTTGTTGGAGCTCAGAACCTAAGCAAATTTTGGCATAGTTGCCGTTTGGATGTGAGAAACTCAGGAAATGCCAGAGCTATAGGCTACACTAGGAAGCTGACAGATTATCCTCCAAAGGAAAGCAATGACAAACCATTTCTGCACTGTTGCCAATAAACTTATAATGATACAGCCATGTAATTAGACTTCACTCAAACAAGCTTTTACGTTCACAATTTCTGCACAGGAATGAAACATCCTTTGATTATTTGCATCTGGGCACTAGAAATGAATTTAATTTTAAAATATTCATTCATGTCCAGTTGGATAGTTCCTCTCTATGCCCCATGCTTCTTAACCAAAATAACTTCTGACCATCTTTTACAAATAACCCTGCTTTGGCTTTGTGCATCAATATTTCTCTACTTGCATATCCTTTTCCACAGTGCAGTTTTTCATTCATTTCACAATGAGGATGTTTATCTAGACTAGGGTCTGCTGTTCAAACTGTTTAATTTTATTACTTTCCCTTGGTTAGTGTTATAACAGAACATTTTTGTTAACTGCAAATCATCCTTCAAGTGAGGAGAGAGAGTTAACAACTTTAGCAAAGTTTTCAAATATTCTACAGACAGGAATTACATCTCACTCCATGGCTGCCCTCTTGCGGTCAGTCCTTGGCACAGGGGTCAGTGGATATAATTTGATGCTGTACTGGGCTTAAAGCAGGGGTCACCAGCTAGATCCTAAAAAGCATGCTATTGGGAATCGCAGGTGGAACCTCAGTAACACACAGCAAACTTAACTTGCAAATTCATTCTTTCTTGATTGCATGCTCTCTAAGACACAAATGGCTTTGCCGTCCCAGCAGATGTACAGATTGCTGAATCAGAAAGATCCTTCAATTTGGAAGATTTGGGTGATGGTTTTCCTCACCCTTGCTGTCAAGTATGGATTCGAAACTACACATTGCAAAATCACTGGGAGATTGACAGTTCACCAGTACAGATTATGGAAGTTCTATGCATCTGATGCAATGAGCACAAAATTATCATTTTAACAAAATTTAATTGGAAAAAGTGTAGCCAGTCTCCTCCTGAATTGTGGAAATGATAGAAAGTCTAAGTAGGTTGATGAGAAGCAAGCTAGCATTGCATTTTTTTCCCTGCAAGATAGTATTATTCAGGAAAATCTCTTGGGGACTACGCAGGAGGTAAAGCTAAAGCAAAAGGAGTTACCCAGAGCCAAGAATAGGTGCAAGTAATTATTCTTATTTTGATTAACGGATTTTATTGAGTACTAAATTTATATGCCATTCCTTGAAATGGCTCTAGGTGGATTATTTTAAAGCCATTTTAAAATGACTGAAAGCAGAAGTGAAATGAAAAGCTTTAAAAAAAACCCACATAACTCTTAATGAGTCTAGCAAAAAAAGGTAGATGTTAAACTCCCCCCCCCCTTCTGAATCACAGACAAGAGGAGGGACAGGCTCAATTACAAAAGCAATTTATTCCATTTTTTTTCCTGCCTATTTGCCAGGCTGCAGGGAAAGGAAGCCAACACTTAACCAGAATCTTAACAGTTCTCCCGCTTAAGTATGTCACCCTTGCTTTATAACAGGAGTGTCAAATTCGATTTCATTAAGGGCTACATCAGGGTTGAGCTTGACCTCAGGGGTGGGGGGCATGGCTGGGGGCGGGGCATGGTCAGCTTGACGTCACTCATGTCAGGGGCGCCTGAGGC